ATGCCTAATTGAAGGCTTTGCACAAAACAAATGACCACATTAGCCTGCCCCCTTTTAACTCGTCCTTCTTCCTGTCTGTGGTTGTAATGCATTATACACTCTGCTTGTTCTCTGTTGTCTCTCAAATTACAGCGCAGGCTGCCAATCATTCAGGGAATAAAACTAAGGGCCTTGTTTTTCTGTCAAACCCCGACCCACCCAGCTCCTCAGAGAGAGATATTTCTTCCTGTACTCCACAAAAGTGTTTATGATGAAGCCGAACAGCGATGCTGCTGGGGGCAGCCAATCGACGTAAAAATTTTATTTCAATTTCAAAACGATCTGTGAAGTTGTTGGCCCGTTTCCACTTCCATTATAATCTGAAAACACCCAAAACAAAACTCGCAGTCACACAAGATGAATAACAAACAATTCACTCATATTAATTCAGCATCATTGAGCACTCCCTGGATAGGAAAGACGGATTAAATGCTTGACTTGTGTTTCTTTTATGTCTGCACATGAGCAGCAAAACAGCTCTTTTTCCCCCCACTCTGTTAAGATCTAAGAATCTGCCAGACATTTCTGTCCCTCCGTGCTTCCCATACATATGGTGCCACAGTTAGTTTTTCTCCATGTGACAAAGGCTCTTAAAAACCTCCACGGTCAAATAGAACAATGCCACGTGGGTGGCTCTTTCTCTCTGCCTCTGGTTGTGTGTGTGTGTGTGTGTGTGTGTGTGTGTAAACAGATATTGTAGACTGTGAGTCAAAAAGTCTGCATCAACATTTGAACAAGCATTAGCTTTCACCAGCACAGATTTACTTCAATAACAAGACAAACAACACAGAGCAGGTGGAGAGGAAAAGTTATGTTTGCAGTGCGCATTTTTGTTATGTGTAATTTGATTTAAGTTATGATGAATTTAAACTACTTTTTACTAACTATGTCATAATATTTATATGTACATGATCCCATAACTTTCAGGGGAGGATTTGTTTGGATACACTGTTCCCCTGGTCGACAGCTGGTGGTGGTGATGTGTCAACAAACAAAGAAATGCGCCAACAAAGTCAGTGAAGAAGAAATCTGCTAGCAAGCAAACATGGATGTAAACAACGCCGGATTTAAAATCAGCTTTGCAAATGTTTTATGAAGAAGAAGATGCACTCATCTTACTTATTAGACCCCACTGGTACACACAGTGGGTTCTGGTGGGAAACTAAATGTAAAAATACATTTACATACAGAAAAAAATGCAGGGCACCTTTAAACAATCTATCAATCAATATAAATTTGACATTTTTTATTAACCAGTAATTGTTTAAGTCAGCTTTTAAAATTGTTTTACTGCTGGTTGAACTAAACAAGCAATCTGAAAATCCTAGCCTGGGCTATGGTAGCATTTGTCTCTATTTTATGAACTTTTAAAGACCAAATTATTCATTTAATCAAAAAAATAATCATCAGTTAATCAAATAATGAAACTAATAGTTTGCAGCCGTCTACAGAGTTTGGACTGCAATTAAATAAAGTACAAAATGCCTTAGGAACACTACATAATGACTTAATAGATGTAACATTCAGAGCAGTTACGCTGCTGCTGTGACTCCAATATGAGACCTAAATTGCTGAGCGTCTGTTGCCACTTGTATTACGCAGCCTGGATGTTGGAAGCAGCCGCCAATGTTTGTTGACTGATGAGAGCCGATGTTGACAGGGAACTCTGTTTGGTTTGGCAGGAGAGCACACTGGCTGCCATTCCACAGAGGAAACCATGTGAGTGCGGCTCATTTTGAAAACGACTACCAGCTCCTGCAGCCTCTTCTGGCTTGCCCTGTGCGAACAAAACCAGCCAGTACCAAGACTTTGACGAGAACTTTAAGGAACTTTAAGAAACAACTTAAACTGAAAAGACTTAAACCAACACTTCATATTGTCTGTGTAGTCTAAGCCGGATGTCACTTACTTTTCTGCACCATAGTCCTCCAAGGTTGTCCAAAAACTATATAAAACAGCATCAATGGTCTACACTGTTGAAGGTGCTTGACAACATGTTTCTTCATTTGAGTCAATCCAAACTGTGCTGCTGCTGTAAATACTCACTACAGCAATAAATGCATGTAACTCCGCTACAGGAAATAGTCCCCAACAAATATACTCCTTACTCCTGTTTAAAAGGAACTTCTGCTAAAAGCTAAATGTTTGAAGAAGTTACTAAATATTTGTGACCTTTTAACGATTTCAATCTTCAGCTTGGTGGCGTCCCCAGAAACGTTTTAAAGTGCTGGCCATTTGGGGAGACTGAAAATGTCAGGGTAGCACATGAAAATCAAAAGTCATAGCTTAATTTCAGATGTGATTATGCTGTTGAAGTATAAAGGCTGGTTGAAAGCTATATGGAAAGTTAAGGTATCCCATACTGAAATACTTTGGTTTCTTATTTTACAGTTATATTACTGATTGTCTGATGTGCACAGACTGGTACAGTTAACATTTTGAGGTTCATAACAGTCCTGTTTTAGCAACCGAAAGAATGAAATCGCAAATACAAGCTGCCGAAATGACTTTCCTCAGTAGGGTGGCTGGGTTCAGTCTAAGAGATAAGGTGAGGAGCTCAGACATCTGGAGGGAGCTCAGAGTAGAGATGCTGCTCCTTTGCCTCAAAAGGGGTCAGTTGAGGTGGTTCAGGTATCTGATCAGGATGCCTCCTGGGCACCTCCCGTTAGAGGTGTTCTGGGCACTTCCCACTGGTAGGAATACGCTGGAGGGATTACATATCTCATCTGGCCTGTGAGCGCCTTGGGGTCCCCCAGGAGGAGCTGGAAAGCGTTGCTGGGGAGAGGGACATCTGGGGTGCTTTGTTTGGCCTGCTGCCCCCGAGACCGGGCCCTGGATGAGCTGATGAAAATGGATGGATGTATCTACACGTTAGGCAAGTGGTTCCCAACTGGTCCAGGCACAGGGTCCAGATTTCTCCTTTGTCATTAGTTCAAGGTCCACACAGTTTAATATATTCAGCATCATACTTGCGTTTAGCCACGTCATCCAGCTAGTTTGCTGTATCTGTTAAGGAGCTGTCCGTTATTCACTCACTCTAGAGCAGGGAGCAGCACTTCAAAATAAAAGCGCTGAGTTTTTTTTACAAACTTGACACGTTTGCGAGTTACTTGCGGTCCATTCAGAATGGACTCATGACCCATCAGTTGGGAACCACTGTGTTAGGTGATTCACTTTTCTTCAAACAGGTTGGTTGTCCTTTTCCTTAAAAAGACAAATATGCACCATTAATTTGAAGGAGTAAATTACGTAAGTTTAGAGGAGACTCGTGGGGACCCATAGAACTCATTTTCATTCGGATATCTTGAGGTGAGAGTCTAGGAGACCCCTTTGAAAATGGCTATGCCAGTTGTTACCTTGCCAAAACTTAGCCCAAAATTGAGGCATTAGTCAGCCTCCTTCCCAGCAAGCTATGCTGACGTGGTTGGTAACAGTGGATGCCTGAGGTTGTCTAGTTTCACAAGATACCACTACTTTTGTGGTAGCTTAAAAATGATTGCACCACAGCCTCTTTAATACAGTAAAGTTGGCGTCCATTGGCAACAATTTTATTAGGGTGGTCACGGCCAACCCTTGAGGACACCACTGGCCATAGTCCTCCACTGTTGTCCAAAAACTATATAAAAACACATCAATTGTCTACACTGTTTCACTGGATGACGTGTTACTCTGAGGAACTACCACAAACACTGTCATGCTGCTGTAAATACTCACCATAGCATTAAATGTGTGTTAATCCGCTGCTGGAAATAGTCCCAGACAAATTTACTCAAATTTGCTAAAAACCAAAAGCTCTGAGAAGTTACAGTACATTCGTGACCATTTTAAAGATTTACATCCTCAGTTTGGGGCTGAGTTCCACAGACAGGGTAGAGAAGTCAAAACGTATTGAGAGATGAACTTTTTGGTTTTCCGTGACATTTGACGATACGAAACACAAGCCTTATCCTCTAAAAGCCACCCTGCTCTCCAACATCTTTCACAAGTCTGTTTGCAGCTATGATTTAAGCCAACAGTATTTTAAGATGGCATGCTTCATAAACGTCATCATAAACGCTGAGTATTTTAGTTCACCTTCAGAGCCCGAGTAGACACAAACATCTGACAAACACAAACAGGGCATTGCCCCTGCAAACCTCAACTAAAACACTGTGATCACGCTGAGACTCTCCTATAAATCTTTTGAGTTTAGGGGGGAGGATAACAGCACGTCTTTAAACCCAGAGACATCGTTAAAGAGAATTGGCTTAATGATATGTCTGAGACTGTACATTCGAGTCATAAGCTCTGTATTTGTTGCCCACTCGTTTCAGCCGTCATATGACAGCCATCAGCTGTAGTGGGAGAAGCATCCCACGCTGGGCAGGGAGACGCACAGACAGAGGCAAGCTGTTGCCTGTAAGTTAGCTGTCAGTCACTGGTGAATGAAGGTACGGAGAGGAACGGGAAACAATGACAGAAAAGGTTGGAAACAGCCTGTTTCCGATGTGTCTATGATGAGATAACTGCATTCCAGTGCTCTAAATATGAGGATCTGATATTCTTATCAGGATACTGACTAGCAGGACACCTTGCACAGGAAGAGAAACTATTAGTAAAAGCTCCAGTACACATCCCTGACAGGCATTCACCCTTACAGACGGCCTCCTGAGTCTCCAACAGGAACAGCCAACCTATCTAATCTCAAGATCAGAGTGTAGCGGTGGATCTGGAAGGAGGACAGACCCTCCTCTGTTTGCTCTGAAGTGGAGCCTCACTGCACGCACACACACTCACAGTGACTCATCCACTGTTTTTACAACACCCACACAAACCCTAACTCCTAAATGTGTACTCAGACTGGGAAACACACACAAACAGCTACACACATACAATTATCCACGTAAACATTTGCACTCTAATCTCAGAACGCGTTTATGAAGTTTAACCTTTACAACACACAAAGCCAGTTAACTCTTTACCTTGAAAAGCAGCCACATTGCGCGAGATGAGGAACTTGAGGCTGGAGCTGGACGTCTGGAGGAGGTTCTGGATGTCTCTCCGGGCCGCCACCTGGTACTTCTCCTCCATCTTTTTGGTGCAGCAGGTCAGGTTCTTGGACATGCACACCTGAAGGTCTGAACCTGAGAGTCAATGAGATTAAATGTTAGAATCTTAAAACATTACGGACCGAGGGCCAGGATTGTCAACAGTTGTTGATTATTTTCTCCTCTAATCAATTAGTTTGGTCTAAAAAATGTCAGGAAATGGTGAAAAATGTCAGACACTGTCTCCCAAAGCCCAGCCTGACCTCCTCAAATGTCTTATTTTGTCCACACCTTAAAAATATTTGATTTACTGTCACAAAGGAGTAAAGAAACCAGAAAATATTCACATTCAATCAGCTGGAATTAGAGAATTTTGATGTTTTTTTTCCTGAAATATTATTTTAACCAATTAATTAATTATTAGTTAGCCACTAATTTAATAGTATTCAGTTCACTGATTAATACTCCATGCTCTGATTTTCTAATCTGATTGGATGGAAAGGACATACCTGTCTTTCCTCTTTTTGTTCAACGCAAGAGAAATATTAACCCATGATAATCTTAGAAAACAGAAAATAACGTGGTGGTGCAGTGGTTAGCATTGTCACCTCACAGCAAGAGGGTCCTTGCTTTGAACCCTCTTGCCCAGGGTTCAAACCTCGGGATGGGGGAGCCCTTATGTGTACTAAGTTTGCATGTTCTCCAGGTACTCAAGTTTCCTCCAACAGTCCAGAGACAGGTTAGGTTAATTGGTGACTCTAAATTGGCTGTAGGTGTGAATGTGAGTGTGAATGGCTGTCTGTCTCTATGTGTCAGCCCTGTGATAGTCTGGTGACCTGTCCAGGGTGTACCTCGCCTCTCGCCTAATGTCAGCTGGGATAGGCTCCAGCACACCCGTGACTTCTAACAGGATAAGCAGATACGGAAAATGAATGAATTAAGTTGCATCAATAGTCAAATGTAACTGATAATAAATGTTTGGTTTACCTTAAATAAATTAAAGGGGGACAACACCTAAACTAAGAAATCCAATATGTTTAATCTATGGCCTAAAAAAGTTCATGTGAAATGAGCTACTCTCTCTAAAGGCCAGAAACCAGAGAAGTCTCAAACTTGGGATGTCAATAAGTATAAAGTCTGGAGCTGCTCCACAGAGAACGGATGTGCGACTCATTTTGTGGACCCACACAATGTTTGTTTTCTTTTTTTATACCCAAAATGACCTTTATTCTATTGTAGTGTTCCCAGCTGTGAAACAGAAGTGTACCCATATACTCCTAACATTCCCCTGAGGACTCTAAATGTCATCTATAACAGTGGATCCCAAATGGTGGGTCGCAGGCCCATTCTGAATGGACCACAAGTGACTCACAAACATGTCAAGTTTGTAAAAAACAAAAACAAAAAAAAACTTTACTTTTAAGTACAGTAAATTCCAGCACAGAGCTTTTATTTTGAAGTGCCATTTTCTGTTGTAAAGTGAGTGACTAACGGACAGCTATTTGATAGAGACAGCATACTAGCTTAACAACATGGCCAAACACAAGTATGACACTGAATTTATTAAACTGTGTGGCCTCAAACTGATGGCTAAGGAGAAATCTGGACCCTGTGGCTGGACCAGTTGGGAACCACTGATCTGTAATATCTTTTCAAATTCTACTCTACTGAGCAGTTCTGGACTTCATACCATATAGCATCACAAATTTGAGTTTTAGCACTCTTGTTTTTTGCTTTTGGAAAGAGTTGTTCATGTTTACAGTTCACAAATATTGTTGGACTGTCTCAGACCATAGGAAGAACATGTACAAATTTTGAAAATGGCCGCATTTCCCCTTTAAGGAAAGACACTTACAGTATCATTTATGGCTACCATCTTTGTTATCTTCAGAAACATGGGAAATGGGTTAAACGTTGTGCTGTGCAGGAAACATAATAGTCCAAATCTTTTGGATTTTGGAAATACTTTGAGAACAAGCACATGGTGTTACAAGGCCAATTTTTGTTTCTCCTGAACATCAGCAGGTATTTATTTTTCAGAAAAAGGAATGCTTACTTCTGTGACCTGAATGTAATACGTGGCAGGCATAAACTGGGGCTGGGGATTTGCATGCTCTCTTTTGGGTGCTCCACTTTCGTTTACACATTCCACAGCACAGGCAAGTCAGGTGGATCTGACACCTTAAACTGCCCGAAGGTGAGTATGAGTAAGTGAGTGCGTCTAACTATCTTCTGTATGATAAACTGACTGACAAGCTGCTTCTTTTAGCAGCATTCATCAGCAAGAGAACAAGACTAAGAGTGTGAAGTCATGCAGTGTGTCCAATGGAAGTATTTCACTAAGGACCATGAAAGCTAACTTGTTGGTGGCACAAGAGGACAAGTCACAGGATTATCATTAGGGCTGGGTATATTGTTTAAAAAATTATAATACCAGTAGCCTTAAAGTGATGCTGATACCAACAGAGTACTTCCTTGGACTTCATTTGATACACATCATGTGAAAAGAAGGCATATAGCACAACCATACTTTCAAATGTTTTGGTGACATCTCCGCAGGTTGAACTGCAAACTCCACCAGACCACAGACTGTATGGGTTGTAACTGGTAGTGGGCCGATCATGTGGCATTAAATCGAAGAACACTTGCAGTGTTTGGCTGCAAGAAAACCCTTACAAATGGTCATTATTTCTAGACCCCAGTACAAAAAGGATCGAATCCAGGTATCGTTTGACTGGAGAAGTTTAGATACTACGTCGTACTGCGTTATTTCAGTCGAAACCTTAAAAAGTGATGAGTAAGGATAAGCAGTATCTATTTTTTCATATGGTCATACTGTCCTGAAATTTCTTCAGGGAACACAGCATGACTGTATCAGTGTGTGACGCTACTTCAATCACCCCAATCATTATAGTCAATCTGGGGTAGGGTTGGACGATATCTCCTGAAAATTACATCACGATATTTTTATATCTCAATATATCTCTCTGTCTCTGTCTCTCTTTCTGTCTCATTGTGTCATACGGATTACTGTTAATTTATTATGTTGATCTGTTCTGTACAACATCTATTGCACGTCTGTCCGTCCTGGAAGAGGGATCCCTCCTCAGTTGCTCTTCCTGAGGTTTCTACCGTTTTTTCCCCGTTAAAGGGTTTTTTTGGGGGAGTTTTTCCTTATCCGCTGTGAGGGTCATAAGGACAGAGGGATGTCGTATGCTGTAAAGCCTTGTGAGGCAAATTGTGATTTGTGATATTGGGCTTTATAAATAAAATTGATTGATTGAATTGATTGATTGATACACGATACGTATCTCGGTATTTTGAATCTGCTCCAAAGCACTTCATCAATGCTCGGACTCGGAGACACAATCCAACACAACAGTTGTGGGAATGACTTCTTTGTTGTTGTTGTTGTTGTTGCTTTGTTTTTCCAAAAATATTACAACAATGAGATTTTTGGTCAATAATCATCAATAATGTTACTTTATTACCAATTTTATTTTATCATTTATTTATTTTTTCTTATGTTACTTTATTCCTTACCTCGTTGACTTTCTTTTCTGCTGCTAATTTCTCTATATTTGCCTGTAAAGTCTAAATCTAAGACGATATGTTGATATATCTTGATAACGATATATATCTTCATATTGCCCAGCCCTAGTCTGGGGACCATGAACGTCTGAACAAGATTTACTGACAATCTATGTGGATGTATTTCACCCAACAGACACACAAAAAGCAAAAATAAACTAAGTACAATGTGCATAAAAAGCCCATGATGGCAAATCTGAGGCCTACTCTTTAAAAACATTAGTTGATCAAGACATTGTTCTTGATTGTGTGACACATCTGCAATTGATTCTGGCTATACAAATCATTTTAAAACAATAATGATATCCCTAAACATAAGGTAAGGGCTCATACAACAGTTGTGTATTTGAAGCAAATGCTTTAGTGGAGCAAGAAAACCAAAACACACAGATCCTCAAAGGAGATCGGACTCAAAAGCATTATCGCCTCACCAAGTGATGTCTCAGGTTTTCCACTATGAACAAATGTAAGCAATCTGCACCCATAGGGGACAATCAAAACATCTTAAAAAGAGACCCAAAACATGGATAAAAAAAAGCCTCTCTGACATGCCTAGGCAGAGTGTGCCGAGCTGTTGCCAGAGACACTATCAGCTCCCGAGAAGAGTGAGGAGGGAGCAGAGCAGGCGATGGCACACGTGGAGGAATTTAAACTCTCCCAGATAAGACAGCTTGAAAGAGCCCGAGGTCTTGCTTCTTCTTCTTCTTCTTCTTTTTTTTTTTTTAAAAAAACCTAAATGTTTTCCAGAGCTATTTCCACAAAAAGCAGCTTTTGTAGAGCGAGGTGATAGACTTCTGACTCTGCTGTGTTCTGACCTACACTGAAGGCTGTTTGGCAACTTTTATTAGAAAACATGGAGACAGCTTTCTCTCAAATTCCTGGAATTTCTGAGCGTTATTTTTCAAAAGCCCACATTCAATTATAGATAACTTCTAATCAGGATCGCCTATACCTCTGGTTATCTCCCACTACGCTATCTGATGTTTTTATGTGAATTAATCTGAATCCATCAAGGAAAATATTTACGTCTCACCAGTCTCGACATGCATTTGGACTTGGAGGTTAGCGAGAGGTTGCCAGAGAGGTCAGCGGAGGTGCAGTTATAAACAGTAGCAGGTGTTTTTACAGGGCGGCCGAATCAGGAGCTTATCGTCACCCACTGCACACAATTTATCTCGGAGAAAGTGCTTTTCGGCTAAGAAATAGAGCAGCGATTTAAAACCACACTGGCTCATTTGAGGGGCTCAGGAGTGGCGATGGCATTATGAGGGTTATTTAGAGGTTTAGGAGGCATTTGAGGGTTTTCTGTCAATGTAATCAGATTCCTCACAGAGGCAAAGGGGGTAGTGAAGTTTGTAGGGAGCAGTTTGTGGCAGGATGGTCGTCAACACCATTTACACCAAGATTTACTTTTCCAAGAGTAGCAGCAGCAGGAAACTGCCCGGTCAATGAAAGCCAACATGAAATACCCACACCCAGAATTCAACCCAAAATCTTTCAGTGGGTGGTGTCCAGAAAGTTTAAGGAAACTCAGTTTACCTCACTTGGCAAAAAGTAGCTCCTGTTTATCCCTGCAAGCCACTTATCAGCAGCTACACTGTATTATACAGCATATTCTAAACTAGCCCATATAATACAGTGACGTAAACAATAAGTGATACCTTTAAGTGGCTGTTCTGTTGTGCAAACACTTGGTAAATCTATCCCCAAACATACTCCTGTTGCTAAGCATTAAGTGCCTGAGGATGGGTTGAACATTATCAGGATTATTTTAAATATTCTAACATTTATGATGAACCTGACACACTGCCAAACATGAATTAAAGTGGATTAATGAAGAACGTCTGCAGCATTTCCTCCAAACATGTTGATTTCACAGAGAGGCACATTTAAACAGATTAAAGCTCTCATGTTCTGCTGTCTATATTATTACCATGACTGCACACACGCCACTGAAATGTGTTTAAAAAGGTGTGTTCTGTAACTACAAAGAGAGCTTCAAGAAGCCAGAAAATGACAGGTTAAAAGGCAACAGTGGAGTCAGAGAGATCAACAGGAAGGTGATGGTTGGCATGTTGATGCTTTGGTTGTTATGGAGAAAAATGTGCCAGTGATTTAAAGAAATGTGATATAACTGACTTATGTATGAGGATTCAGCTGTATGAAACTAAATAGACATTAACACACACTGCTGCTGAAGCTTTACCCTCAACATACCTGGTCTGGGGCTCAGAGGCAATAATTGATTTGGTCCAATTTGCCTGAGTTGGAAAACTTTGCGCACTTCGTCGCATTTGTTTGGACTCCCAAACGTGAATCCAGAGCAACACGCCAGGAAGAAAACGTACTTGGTCCACAGCACACCCATTTTAATGAAACCCGGGGTTAAAAATACTCCACTTATAAAAATGTAAAAGAGGCTGGTTTGTAAGTTGAGGTTTCTTCTGAACCTTTAGTCCACTCAGGTGAGTCCCGTCCACATCTCAGGGTTTTTAGGATTCAGCGTCGGTCATGTGGCGTGTGTGTGTCACGTCGAGGAAACGCTTCAGATCATCTCGGTCCACGCACGCGGAGGGAAAGTTGCAGCGGTGTGACGAGTCTGTTTGAAAGCGGCATGTTGTCCATGTTGGCTGGACCGGCGGCAGAGGCGGTACCGTAACGTTACCTGAACACCACTGCTGGATACACAGCCGAGCTGCGGCCTGACAGCGCCATCTAGTGGACCGGACCCGACTTCAGTTTATCACCCGATTTTATTTAATTATTTATTTTTTTGTTGTGAGGGGTTTTTTTGTTTTGGTTTTTGGACAATTAGACTGAGATTATTCTGTAAAACACACGCCTATATAAATGATTTTATTTTTATTTAGATTTCAATTATTTAGATCAATGATAATAATAATTGATTCTGATAAATAATGGTTTGTAGCTAATATGTATTTTTATGGGGTTTATTCACGGGTGGTTCGGCACAAGGCATTTCAATGTCCTTTATGGAAACCTGGGCCAAACAAAGTGAAGATAATTAAATGCCACCTGACTAACTCTATGACGTTTTATATAGGCTAACTTTTTTTTTTAAAACTCTGTAACATATAGCCTAATATATAACTTTTTTTTCATCACATCTTATTTTTTATAACTCTATATTTATAATTGATTTTTATTTTATCATCCTATTGCGCTGATTTTTAATAATTCTCACCCTATTATTTAATCTTTTTTTAATTTGTTCTCTGTAGTGTCTGAGTATCCTGACAGGCACTATATCCACAAACACATTTAAATTATTTGCTTAGTGACAACCACAAGCCTCTTAAAGCATGTCCATGTATCATTTTATTTAATTTAGTAAGACAGATGGTTCAAAAATAGGAGTTTGTCTCGTTTTTATGTCTAAAAATGTGGAATTATTGTTCTCCCTCAATTTATCCCAGCAAACTTTGAGAAGAGCTTGCACCAAGACTGACATAATTTAGGAGCTGTTTTGATTTTATACAGACTTAAAACACATTTTTCCCCCCACAGGAATAGATTTTGACCAAATTCAGATACACAGGATGAATCCTTTATTACTGTAGCTAAAGTGCAAGATTTATATACCATAATTGTTTTTCCTGACACTTATTTACTGTCTATTATTTATAAGTGTGAGGTTCAGTATATGGAGGATGTGGTTTTATCAGGTGGCACCTTACAGATGTAGCATCCCCTAATTTCATTGTTTTCCAAAAGTACAATGACAACGAAAAGCTGTTCTGATTTATACACACACACACACACACACACAATAAGGAAAAAGCTGCACCACTGCTCAAACACTGACCAAATTAGTTTTAAAAAAGCCATTTCAATTGTCTGCTATAATATGCAAAATGAATGATTGACTGCTTTAATAAGTTCCCTCAGCATGGCCCTGTATTGCTCTTGAATGTCAACTTCTGTTGTTCATTGCAGACTACACTATTGCTTAAATGTATAACATAAACCCAACTGGAAAACATGAATTCATTGTGGTGGCAAAGATGCTCAACATGACAACCATAACATTAGTAAATTGTTTAATCAGGATGTCTAAGTGTGGAGAATCAAAAGATACTGGATGTAAAGCAGCCTTGTTTACCAAAGCAGTTTACATCACGTTGTTCCCCTTTCCCGACTTATTTTAACCAGTGTGTCGTAGGTGTGACATTACAAGGTACAAACATGATTTAAAACCTTTTCAAAAGCTTTCATTTAAAATCCAACTGAGACATAGGTCAACTTCAGGGTGAAAACTAGTGTTAACACTTATGTTAATGCCTGTAAAATAATAAATGAAATTTGCATTGAACCATCCAGGGAAGAGTATAGAAAATTTAATGTATTTTAAGCAACATTACAGTTAACCAATTTAAAACACAACTATCACAAATGTAACAGATCAAAATGGTCAGAACATTAAAGCACATGCAGCAGTTTTTTTAAATCATCAGTCGGGTCATCATCCAGGTCAACTCCATCTCCTCGTTCCTATACAGGCCGGGACAAGTGCAATACCTCGATGTACACAGCATTGCAACTAATCCCCACCTACACAGGAAGGGACATCTCCAAATATTCAAAACATTATACACATCCACGTATGTGAAAATACCCACCATGTGGCAAATGGCAATCTTTGTGAAAAGCAAACCCACTTGGTAGAACAGCTCATCAACCTAGTCAGTTTTGCATGGATTTGCACAGCGAACATCAGTTAAAGCTGAATGCAAACCAGCAAAACTGACCGAGTGATGATCAACAGATTTTCCATGATTATAAACCCTTAAACTTCACATAGATGCAGTTAGTTAGAAGTACTTCAAGTGCTTACATTGCAGTAGATAGGAGAAAAACACTACCTGCACTATAAGCACTTTAGTACTGCTGAAACTCAGTCACTTGACGAGAACTGGCAAATACTCCTGGTTTTTAAACACAGCGTTATATGTGGCATTATGCAAACAGATTGTGTTTGATGCGACACCCCCAAAACCAAAAGTCTAAACAGGTGGAGAGCAAGCAGGCCACCATCAGTTTTGCATAGATTTGCACAACTCATCTATTCTTGTAGTGCAACTATGCAAAACTAGCAGAGAACTGCAAGATAATTGAGCCCAATTAGAAATTAAGAAAATGGTCTGGTGGCGCATATCACAGCCCCTTATGCCAGAAGGAGCACTTAGGGCAGTAGGTGCTAGTCTATTTCACTATCTGCACTAGATGCACCTTAGCACAAAGACAGTACGTCACATGACATGTTAACATCAAAGATTCTGCACATCAGTGTCAGGGTATTGCTGTAAGTGCCTCCACTGCAGTAGGTATGACATAGTACTACCTGCACTGTAAGCACTTTGACAATACACAGACTGATAACAGCTTCGCTGCCCTGTGGCCCCATGGGGAAGATGGTCACTCTGGTCCAGGTTGCAATGTGGGTTGAGATCCTGCACTTCATGGTGAATCTGTAAATTAAAAAATGACACATAGGAGAGATTATTATGATAGCGGAGATGACTTTTAGGCATTGCAATAAGTTACATAGGCAGGTTAGTGTGTGTGCGCACGTGTAGGCAGTTTATTGTGATTAAATCAATCTAAAAACGTGGAGATTGTTTTTCATCACTATCTGAAATATGCACCACTATCACTAGGCAGACGGTGATTGAAGGAGTTAGCTGTTGAGACACAAGATGTTATGATTTATCGCAGCAGCACGAGGTCACTGAAAACATGAATGAGCAGCGCAGCCTGCGGCCCGCGTTCCCTGCGACACGGGCGCGCCTGCGCAGGGAGCGGTGTTGTTCACCCCTCCCCCACCCGTCTTTAACATGGCGCCTCGAAGTGCGCCAACCTTAGCACAAATGACTTTAAACCAGCCAAGCTAAACGCAAACGTAGCACTGCACACTGAAATTCAGCAACCGCGTGTTGTTTTGTTTAGAGGAAACACCGTGGCTTGCGGTTTCGGACCTCCTAGAAAACACGGCTACCGTCCATGTAGGAGCAGAGGCTAGCAGCTAGCAGCAAACAGCAGCCGTGCGCTGGCTTGGGCAGGTAGCTTAGCTGCTGTTAGCTTTATGAAAACATGGCAAACCGTGATAACACCACTACAGTTACATTTACAACCACTTTGGATATGGCTGGGGAGCAGTTGTGGTGTTTTTAGCACAGCCGTTGACTCATTTTTAGCTTTGGCTAGCAAGCTAATAAAATTAAGAGTTTGACGACACTGATTAGCCAACAACAAACGAGCACACGTTTTTAAAATACCCCAACAGTCCTATCCTGAAGGATTGGCTCTATTAACCCACTCCTGTCTTTATCTTAACGTGACAGCCGCCTTTATCATGTAATGTCCGTGGTTTACGAACATTACAACTGTGTTAAGTTTATGTAGCTAGGCTAAGCTAGCTAAGCTAAAACGCGCGGCCTAAAACTGCCCCATGTGCTGCTGCTTTGTTCTGGGGGGCACTTTAACTCACACACCACTGCACTCGAGACTGAGCAACAAATTAACCAGATTTACAACTTTACTTTTCAAATATCGGTCCTGCGTGTTTATACAAACTCGTGTTTTGTTAGCAGGAGGCCGGATTTTTTTCCAACTAGTTGCTAAAGCGCAGCGGAGAAAGCTCCGGACAGCTTTTCAAATCTCCCTCATTCCCTCAATGGTGGAGCAGAGGGGGCTGCCATGCGCCTCACGTTACACTGTTTTCATCGCCAGCATATCATTTATGTTTTAATGTTGGGATATCAGCCCTTCTCCCTCGCAGACGTGATGTTAAGACGCGTTAAAACAGGCGTAAAATACATCGTTTGAGATTTCATTCAGCAGAGCAGAGACAAAAACATAACCCCAAACCCGACTTCCTTGCCGATAAACATGCGCTCGGTAGACACTCACCAGCCGAAATCCACCATCTTCGCTCACTTGCTTGGGCTGCCGTGTAGTCTCTTACCGACAAAAGAGAGAAATAAATACGCAACTATTCCGAAAACTTTTCTACCGGCGGACAAAAACGGAACATAAAGTGAAGTCCGAGCCGATCGCGAGGCAATTTATAGCCCAGATACGCTGCTTAAAAATGATTGCGGGGTTAGGAAAGTGGCGCGAAGGCGACCAGTTGGTAACCATGTGGGTGAATGAAGGGCGGCTCCCACTGAACGTAAATATCTAGCTACAACCCCCAACTCTCCCTATTAGCATACATAAACTACGGTACGTCCGACCCACATCTCCAACCAAACAGCCTCCACCTTCTCCCAAGAAGGAGAGGGAAACAGACAGAGATCACTGCGGGATCTTTTAATACTGAATATATACATATATGCATGCATAACGAAAACAGCCTGCTGAGGCATGCAGTTTGACATCCATTAAAGTTTGCATTCAAATAAAAAAAATATATAAATAATCTAAAAACATGCTCTCAAAAAATAAATAAATAACAGTGCTGAGGAGTAAAACTAAATCAAATGATCACATGATGTTCTTCAGGTGCACTTTATGTTCATTTAATTGAAAATTAAACTACTAATTAACCTGTTGCTGCCACACAACATGTTAAAATCAGCCCTGTATCAACATGTAGTTCAAAAATATAGATTTGTTTAATTTTTATCAGCTTTCGTAGATGGAAAAAAACAAAGAAAAATCATGTTTATTTTATGTACTCATTATGAAATCAAACAAGTTTTACAGTGTTGTAAACTAAATTCAAGCCAGCTTTACAAATACAATTACAACACAACTGGGAAACTCTTGTATATTTTGTGTTTGCTCTAGCAGACATTAAATATTTGTAAGTCATAAATATAATTAAGAATTTAATTGAAAAAACAGTAGGCTTGAATTCATCACGAACCAATTATTAACCAAGGGTTTGTGGGTTTAATCAGTATAAAGGTCAAACAAAAGTGCTTTCTGTTGTTGTTTT